TCATCATCATCATCATCATCATCATCATCATCATCATCATCATCATCAATAGTAGTAGTAGTAGTGGTAGTAAAAATGCGATCCCCAGGCTGCTTGTCAACAGTGTTTTGAACATTTGTGTATAGTTATTAATGGTTGTCCTGATCCAGGCCTATTATTGGTCATTAGGAACCCAGTCACTATATCGTACATTAAGGATAGAATTGCTACCGCGACAGAGGTAGCTTCGGAGCTTTCGCTCTTCCTTATGAAAAACCACTCTAGCCATATTGATATCAACATCGTTCTTTTAAATTACGGTCTTAACTTCTATGCTCACAGTGCTTATATTTATTTGATATCTGGAGCAGTAAAGATTCAAGTAAGACGAAAGGTGCATGCGTTCGGTCATTTTTGTTTTCGAGATATTCTAAGCATCTGGTTCTCGGGGTGGCAGCCTAAAAATAATCCCTTTCCTGTGCTTATCTCTGATGATGGGTTCAACTTCGTGCTCCAGCGGTCGCATCTTCACCTTCTGAACTGCTTCCTGGAACTTGCCTGTTTCTTTCTATCAGGAATCCTAAATCGTTTGACCACACCCTGCTACGGCGCCTAGAAAATCTCATTGCTTCCTTTTGAAGTACTCAACTGTACCGCCAGTGAACATAATTTCAGGGCCGCTAGGTGGAACCATGGCTGGGTACTGTTTGCAAGGGCTTTGAAAAAGTTATTAAATTTGCAGTACACTTTCTCCAACATAGAGCCCTAAGCTTAACACGAGTTTCAAAGCTTGTAAAATTCGCTCTGAGGTTGCTTTAGTTCTGACAGAGTCAATAACCACTGTGGTTACAGGCACATATAATCGAATGAATGTTTATGCTTTAATCTAGGCTTGCTAGCAGGAATCAAGTGCTACCCATAATCGCTGCCAAGACAAAGAGACACCAGTTATCTTCTTTTAGTAATTCAACTCAACTTTTTGAGGGATAAGTACTCCCGAAAGTTGCATTGGTCGGAAGTATTTTGTGGTATCTGGGCACAAATGTGAAGA